GACCCTGTACAAAAAGGAACGTCTGGAGGCATCACCATCCCTGACTTCAAGCTCTATTATAGAGCTATAGCCCTGAAAACAGCTTGGTACTGGCACAAAAATAGACAGGTAGACCAATGGAATTGAATTGAAAAATTAACCCACACACCTACGAACATCTGATTTTTGACAAACAAGCTAAAATTATACAAAGGAAAACAGAAAGCATCTTCAACAAATGGTGCTGGCATAACTGAATGCTGGCATGTAGAAGACTGCAGATAGATCCACATCTATCGTCATCCAAAAACTTAAGTCCAAATGGATCAAAGACCTCAACATAAATCGTAGAAGAGAAAGTGGGAAGTACCCTTGAACAAATTGGTACAGGAGACAGTTTCCTGAACATTACACCAGAGGCACAGATACTGAGGTCAACAATTGATAAATGGGACCTCCTGAAACCGAGAAGCTTCTGTGAAGCAAAGGACACAGTCAGCAAGACAAAACGGCAGCCCACAGACTGGGAAAAGATATTCACCAACCCCACATCTGACAGAGGGCTGATCTCCAAAATTTACAAAGAACTAAAGAAGCTAATCTCCAAAACATGAAATAATCCAATTAAAAAGTGGAGTACAGAATTAAATAGAGAATTCTCAACAGAGGAATCTAAAATGACTGAAAGACACATAAGAAAGTATTCAACATCCTTAGCCATCAGGAAAATGCAATTCAAAACAACTATGAGATACCATCTTACTCCTGTCAGAATGGATAAAATTAAAAACAAAAATGACAGTTTATGCTGGAGAGGATGTGGAGAAAGGGAAACACTCTTCAACTGCTGGTGGGAGTGCCAACTGTTACAGCCAGTTTGGAAATCAGTATGGCTGTTCCTCAGGAAAATGGCAATCAGTCTACCACAAAACCCAGCAATTCCACTCTGAGGCATATACCCAAAAGAAGCACATTCATACAACAAGGACATCTGTTCAACTATGTTCATAGCAGCATTATTTAAACTAGCCAGAACATGGAAGCGACCTAGATGCCCCTCAACTGAAGAATGGATGGAGAAAATGTGGCACATTTACACAATGGAGTACTACTTGGCTGAAAAAAAAATGGAATCTTAAATTCGCAGGCAAATGGATGGAACTAGAAGAAACCATCCTGAGTGAGGTAACCCAGTCACAAAAAGACAAAAATGGTATGCACTCACTCTTATATGGATTTTTGATCTAGAGCAAAGGATTACCAGCGTACAATCCACACCGCCAGAGTAAAGCTAGGAAACAAGGAGGACCCTAAGAGAGACATACATGGTCCCATGGAGAAGGGGAAAGGGACAAGATCTCCTGAGCTAATTGGGAGCATGGGGGAAGGGGAGAGGGATTTAGAAGAAAGAGAAGGTGAGAAGAGGAGGGGAGAGGAGGACAAGAGAAAGCAGGAAGATGGCGTCAGGGGAAGAATGGAGGAGAGCAAGAAAAGAGATACCATCATCATAGAAGGAGCAATTATAAGTTTAAAGAGAATTCTGGCACTAGGGAAATGTCCAAATATGTACAAGGTTGTTCCCAACTAACAATCTAAGCAATAGTTGAGAGGCTACCTTAAATGCCCTTCTCTGATAATGAGATTGATGACTACCTTATATGCCATCCTAGAGCCTTCATCCAGTAGCTGATGGTAGCAGAACCAAACACCCACAGCTAAACACTGAGCTGAACCCTGGAACCCAGTTGTAGAGAGGGCGGAGTTAAGAGCAAAGGGGTCAAGACCAGACTGGAGAAACCCCCAGAAACAGCTGACCTGAACAAAGGGTTGCTCATAGACCCCAGACTGATAGCTGGGAAACCAGCATAAGACTGTTTCAGACCCCCTGAACAGGGATGTCAGTTTGGAGGTCTGGTTAATCTATGGGGCCTCTGGTAGTGGGTCAATATTTATCTCTAGGCCACTCCCCATAGAGGGATCCTCTCTCAGCCTAGACACACGGGGGAGGGTCTAGCCCCTGCTCCAAATGATATGACGAACTTTGAAGATCCCCCATGGAAGCCCTTGCCCTCCCTTAGGAGCAGAAAGGGAATGTGATATGGGGTTAGTGGGGGGCAGGGGAGGAGGGGAGGGTGAGGGAACTGAGACTGACATGGAAAAGAAGCTTATTTCTAATTTAAATTTTTAAAAAAGGGAAAAAAGAAATAAACCAGACACACAAGACCAATATACCGAGATCATATGAGGCACAGGATAGCTGAATTTTCAGGCACAGAATGTAGAAAAGTGTTGACCAGGTGCTGGAGGAGGAAGTAAGGTTAGTGCTTAAACTTCCACTGTGGAACCATCGGGGA